ACAGGGAAAATGTGCCTGAAAATGAGGCAGTTTGAGATACGTGTAAGATGTTGGCCCAGGACTGTTCATGCTCAATCTTAACAGTTCCCTGGGTGACTTTTGACCAGTCCCTTTTCCTTATTAGCCAGTTATCTGCCAAAATTGTAGCAAAGTAGGAAAATCGGGAGAGAGGAAAGTTGGGATAGAAAATAAATAAATAAAAACAATACCATGGGTATTGACGAAGGAGTTGGAGGTTTGCATTAAACAGCAGAAGGAAGGGAGTGGTAGTTATCCCGCATTGGTCAAAGACAGAAATGGAAAATGAAAGAGGATACTGTAGGTAGTCTAGTCAGTTTCACTTCAGTCATTATACATTCTGTACTAGTGACCTTCAACTAAGGCATGGTCTTGAAGCACATGATGAAGCTCAGGCAATCAAGATCTTCCGAATGCTTGGGGATGGAGGGACACTGTTGAGAAATTCTTGGTACACAGATCACAAATGTATTGTATATTTTTTTTGTTTTATTTTATTTAGAATTTGAGGAAGGGCGCTCTCATTCTCAAACTCCCGAGTAAGTGGCATGTTTGGGCCAAGTTGGATTTGATTGTACTTATATGAAAAAATGCAAGTTACATTTCATGTGATTGGCTGTAGAAATGGTAGCTCGGAGACACTTTCCTTCCAAAAATTGTTACCTCCCTGATGCTAGTGGGAACTTTTCTTGAAATGCAAAGGGATTTGAGATTTTTAAGGTTTTAAATGTTATGTTATCTTGGGCTTTGAGATTTTAAAGTTATTTTTTGCTCTGCAATTTTTAATGTTTTAAATTTTATTTTATTTTTGGCTTTGGGATTTTTGATTTTTTAAATTTTTTTTTTCCTTTTGGGGGAACAGTCAAGGCTCTTGACAGGGTGAATGAGTTACTGAAGCCCCCACAACTCCAATATGAGCCATACAGGTAGTCCTCACTTAACAACCACAATAGGGACCAGAAAATTCATTGTTAAGCAGGGCAGTTGTTAAGCGAGTCGCACCCGATTTTATGACATTTTTTTGCTATGGTCATTAAGCGAATTACCATGGCTGTTAAGCAAATCACATGATTGTTAAATGAGTCATGCGATTCCCCATTGACTTGCTTGGGGGAAGCTGGCTGGGAAGGTCGTAAATGGTGATCACGTGACCCCAGGACACTGCAACCATTGTAAGTGTGAGCTGGTTGCCAAGCACTCAGATCACGATCACATGACCGTGGGGGTGCTGCAACAGTTGTAAGTGCGAGGACCGGTTGTTAGTCCCTTTGTTCAGCACCGTTGTAACTTCAAACAGTTACTAAACGAATGGTTGTTAAGTGAGGACTACCTGTACATTTTACTGTTTAGTCATGTATGATTCTGGTGTTCAAATACTAAACAGATCATAGATACAAACATGATGATTAAATGTGTGTGTGTGTGTGTGCATGTGTGAATTACTGTGCCCATGGTACCCGCCTTATGGAACATTCTCCCCCCCCACCCTGATGTGAGGTCATCTCCATCCCTCCTTATTTTTCAGAAGTCCCTCAAGAGCTGGCTGTCATCTGGCCTGGGGGTCTCAGGGGACTGGTGAAATCTTAAGGTGGCTCCCTTGCTGATCTAATCTCTTGTGTATTTTATGCTTTTTTAACTTTTTAATTTGGCTGCCTTTGACATGTTTATTGTTTTTATATTTTTTGCTGTATGCCGCCCAGAGTCACTTCTTGTGAGACAGGCAGCCATATAAATTTGATAAATAAGTAAATAAAATTACTGTGCACGTATAAATAAAAGTGTAGCAAGCAGCTCTAAGAGAGCTGGATAAAGAGAGAGAGAACTGGATAAAGGTTCTTTTGTAACTTTTTCAGGTGCAAAGAAGTCACAATGCCTGTTAGCATGAAAGATGTGATGCAGCTTCTCTGCCACATTTCTGAAGAGCGTAAAATGAAGGCTGCCTTCAAGCACTCTGGACGAGGGGCCCTCGTGGTGGGAACAACTGCGTTCTTTGGAGGTTTGATGGCAGGCCCACCTGGCCTTGCTGTGGGTAAATTAATGTTTTCAGATATGCACATAAGTGGCTCCTGGAAATCTTTGGGTCCTCCAAACTGTAGCTTTTACTGTGATAAAGGGGGGGAAATATTAAAGAAGGGGAGGGAACCATTCTGTTAACTGCACTTAATGGATGCCGTTATATTCAGTTTAAATTAAAGCAACTTTCCAGATTCAAATCAATCTTTATGACAGTCCAAGACCATAAGGGGACAGGGGACAGTCATTGTAAAGTGTATCAAGTAAAACACTAATATAAATATATAGATATAAGAGACATAGAAGGTGTAAAAGATAGAAAAAGGGAGAATCTAAAGGAAGTTGTATAAAAGATGTATAAAAGATATATAAATGTATAAACTAAATAGATATATAAGAGGACAATGTAACTTAAAACTATCCCAGAGCCATTGGACTTTTATCTGCATCAGAAAAGATGCTGTCCTGCATCTGCAAAGAGTCCTGCTGTTGCATTGTTCAATGACTGTTTGCCAGACAGTTGAAAGATGGCATTTCTGTTCTGTTTTTCTAGGAGGTGCCATTGGTGGCTTGCTTGGGGCCTGGATGACCGCTGGACAGTTCAAGCCCATTCCTCAGATTATCCTGGAACTGCCTCCTGCGGAGCAGCAACGGCTTTACGAAAACGCCTGTGCCATTATTCAGAATCTGGACTGGACTGACACAGCCCAGCTGATAGCCTTGGTCATGTCCAACGGTGCCATTCAAGAGAAATTGCTTGGAATGCTGACAGTCTATATCACTAATGAGCTCAAAGCTGAAATCCAGTATGGAGATTAGACTCAGATGTGTATTTAAGGGTGCTGTGCACACTTGGCTCCCTCCTGGCACCTTTGGCTGGTGTTTTAGATCCCTTAAGGTCATGGTTTTTACAGGAAGAACAAGATGGCAGCCATCCATTTCTACCATGACCCGAAATAATCTTTTTGGGAAAATATGCAAGGCAGACTTTGGCTTCCCCATTTTGTTTTTTCATAATTAGTCCCTGCTTCAATAACCAAGGGCAGATTAGTCTGAGCCTCAATGTTTGTTTCTTTTAAAAAGTATTTATGCCACCCAAACAACCCATTGTGGTACTTGGAGTGCCATGCTCAGTGAATGTCTCTCATCCATCTGACCTTCTGAGCAGCAACATCTGTAACAAATCCCAGTGATGCCATTAAAGAAGTGCTACCATTACATACTTACATCATGGTGCACGGATATAAGTCACGGCATTTGTGCAATGATGACATCACCATTTGCTTCCCTTCTAGCTGATGTGCATCATTCTAACTGAATAATGGTGCACTGAACAGACGTTCTCCAATATGAACACTCAACCTTTCCTGGCCAGTTAGAAGTGTTGGATCTATGACCAATTGTCCCACTCAAATATGTTCCTCAGGTCACTGAAGTAGAAATCTGATATTGTTGGCTAGCTTAGCTGATTGGCTGGAGGAAGAAAAAGGCTGGTGGTAAACATATCTTCAGGATACCAAGTTGGAGAAACCTAATGTAGATAATTGCACTGTGTTTGAACTACATGGTGTCCTCTTGGCCACAATAGAACAATCAACATCAAATGACTTGGAATTTGTCAGATGGTGTCAGATTCCCTATCTCTGCTGTCGTGGGATGTGTTTCTTTTTACCATTCTGCCTTAATTTTGAGAGGGTGAAGGAGTGAAATGTTGAAGTCACAAGTTGCCATCTTTAAAGTTCAGAGCAAAAACTGTAGCAGATGTTTCATCTTGGGTATCTATCCTGAAGATAAATTGAAATAAAGCTGAATTTTAATGTGAACTGCCAAGTTTGTATGACCATATTTCCCCTTCATTTAGAGGTGCAGTCCCAGTTGAAAACCATACATGATGGAAGGTCTATTGTGCATGATCTGGTTTTACATTTGTGAAGGGGAATAGTTTCAGTCTCCAGGTAACTAGACTGGGTGAGAACCAGACTTTTTCAAGCTAGAATAGACAATCCTGGCTTAGATGCGCTAGGGGTCTGGCTCAGGCTGATATAAGAGAGCTTCATATATGTTAGCAATTGGAGCAGAAAAGAAAATTAGATAAAGGAGCAATCTTACTTAAACTGTCACTTTCAACATGACAGAACAGTTTATATTGTATGCTCAGTTTCTTATACTTCACTAGTATCTTTTAACCATGGTTTCCCAAACAAGCCAGAAGCGCATCGTTGACATTAAAGTTACTAGAACTGGACTACGAACACCCATATAACCACTAGGCAGCAAAAATAAACAGAAACTCTGATGGCATCTGATGATTATGTGAGTCTTGCATTCCAGATCCAGTAGTCCTACTGACCTTTAGTGCAACAGCACAACATCTAGAGGCCATGGGTTCTTTACTGTGGCCACAGGTGAGGCTTCCAGCAGCAGGATCAGATGGGAATCCCAATATCCCCACCATAAGCCATGATCTAATTGCATTATCATTGTGGGATCATCCATTTGCACAGCAATAATATGGTTTGCGTGGTGTGGCCTCAGCACTGGCATGCTAGGCCATTGTGGCTTATTTAACAACTTAGCCAAAGACAAAGTATGGCTTAGGCTGCTTTATCCCATTAGCAATATTTGCCAGAGTTCCTATTATTAAGGCTACAGTGCAGTGCAAAAATCTAGATAGCCGCTGCTGTAGATGGAAGGAAGCTCTGAATTCTCACCTGTCATCTAACAGTCATCTAGATTTTTTCACCAAAGATCTGGGATCAAGTATTTCTTCATCTCTGAAAAAGACACTTCGGGTAATGGGATACCCAAGAAGTGCTACGTGTACATCCACATGTGCTCCAAATTGTATTTTGCCCCTCAAGTATGGATTTCTTCAGAGTCTACTGTTTAGTAAGTCCTCTTGCCCACACTGGGGTAAGTGTAAACATTTGGATTATTGCGCTGAAAGGACATAATTATCGAACCCAAACCAAATCATCAAAGGGAGCAAGGTGAAGCTAATGCTAATGAAACTCAACTGCCCTGTGTTCCTTAACATGCCGAACCAAAGGTACACCAAGGCAGATAAATAGGCTTCACAATTGCATGAAGTCACTCATGCCTTAGTCATTTCCCAGTTGGGTTATTGCAATGTGGTTTACATGGGGCTGCCCTTGAAGACCACTCGGAAGTTACAAGTGGTCCAGAATGCATGGTCTGCACGGTATTGGGTGCTCATAGGTTCACCCATGTTACATCTTTATTGCGTGAGCTGCACTGGCTCCCGGTTTCCTTCCGGGTGCAATTCAAGGGGCTGGTTATCACCTTTAAAGCCCTACATGGCATGGGACCTGGTTGCTTGTGGGACCACCTCTCCCTAAGAATATCTGCCCACCCCCCATATCAGACAGGATAGGCATCCTCCACGTCCCTTCTCTGAAATCCTGTCACCTAGTGGGACCTGCGAAGCACACTTTTTCCATGGCTGCCACTACTTTATGGGACACTTCCCCCCCCTCCCACAGCGATTCGGCAGGCCCCCACCCTTTTAGCCTTTCAGAAGGCCATCAAGACCTGGCTTTTTACAAGTAGGGAATGAGGGTAACGAGCTTGCTGCAGGGCATCCGCGGGGGACGTTTAAGGCGCAGAGTTTTTATTTTACTGTTTTACTGCTTTATGATTGTTCTTTAGTTTTGGTTTTATTGTTGTGAGCTGCCCAGAGTTGCTTAAGAGGGATGGTCATATAAAGCTTTTAAATAAAATAAATAAACTGCTATCACCTGTCTCCAAGTAAATTTTGACAGCTCTCATCTGAGACATTAGAACAGCCTTCCCTTCCCTTCCCTTCCCTTCCCTTCCCTTTCTACATAGCTAGGTGTATTACTGATCTCTGCCATAGGCAGCCTTCTTCATATGGAGTCAGCCTGGCTAGTGGACTTATCTTAGGAGCTTGGTAGAGCAACAATGGTGGGTTCCTAACCAAGGAATAATGCTACCTCTGGGCCATGATACTCCACCAGCAAGCAAGTCACTGGACACCCTGAACTCAAAGTTGCTTCCAGTTTAAAATGTTCAACAGGAGGAGACAAGGAAGGGAACTGAGGGAGTAACAAAAATATTGAAAGTCCAACAGCCATGTTTAACTGTTTGGATTTTTTTAACAAATGAAAATAATAAGGGGATTAAGAGGTCAAGCAAAAAAAACAAAAAGCCTTCACGGAGCTTATCTCATAAGAGAAATCAAGGGAAGGCAACTTTAGAAAGCCAGAAATGATGGGAAAATGTCCTTGGTAGAAAGAATGCCAGATGATGATAGTAGCTTTGCAGATAAAGCTGGGGGTAGGAACAAGGAAATCACCGTAGGAGGCTGTTTTAAAAAGAAGTTCAAGCCGGAAACTAAGGGAGAATTGCAGCGTGTTAGCCCAATCAATAGGTTTTGTAAAATTGAGAGCAAACATTGCACAAAAGCTGGTAAGTCAATAATTGTGTATCTTTCATTTGTCCTATTTAGAGGCAATTGTATCAGAGTAACAGCTCCAAGTCTGTATTTAGTGGGTAAGCGGCCTTCCACACTTCTTAAGTATCATTCCTTAAACAGTATAATTCAATGTACAGACTTTTTAAATCTGCTCTTTTGATACATCCCTAGATGCATTTGCTGAAATTTCAGTGGATTTCAAGTAATTGTGAAGCTTATCTATCTGCCTTAGTGTAACCTTTGGTTGGGTGTGTTAAAGAACACAGGGCAGGAGTTGTTAAAATGTAACACATTTATTGCAGTAGAAGAAAATCAAAGAACGGAGGGGACGAGTCTATGTTTCTGATGATTTTCCTTTACCTTTTCAATGTTTCTTAATATAGCAAAGGAACAACGAAAACTTAATCTATGTGTTGAATTTGCAGTCTCACCCATCTTTTCTTCTGTATAAAACTCAGTGAATTATATTTGATTTTGCTCTGAATAAATGTGCATCAGGGTAGGAGAAATAATTGGGGAATGAATGCTCTCACTTCCTGATTTTTTTTCTGTTGAGGATTGAGAATAATCTTCAATAATTATTTCTTGGACATAGTTTGTGAGGTGGGGGGGGGGTGCCTGGCAAGTAAGATGCAGATTAGGTAGGCTCTGCTCTGCTCTGCTCTGCTCTGACACCCTTCTTTCTCTCTTGATTTCATTTCTCCAATATTCATTTCTTTTTTATTCTTTATGTATGGCTGGCAGACTTTTCTGGAAAGGATCAAGTTGCTCAGAGTTCTAAACTGTTTCCTTGGAGAGAGTTTCGTAAATTTGGCGAAAGGATGTGTCTGTTCCAAGGCTGCAGTCTGCCAACCTCGCTAGCAAATCAGCAATTTTAAAAAGGAGGAACTCCAACCTTGTCCATGTGCAGTTGTACTTTGACAGCAAGCCAAATAGGAATATAGATCACTTTGAGGTGAACTTTCCCACTCCAGTGAGGCATAACACTTTGGTTGCATCTGCAAGAGATTCTGGTAGAGGAAATGTATAACCATGAGGACAGAGTGGCTTAAAAGACATGTTTTTAGAGTTCTTCTAGGGGCTGGAATTGGTGGTTTGTTTGGTGCCAAGATGGCCTTTGGATGGTTTAAATTATTTCAGAATTGTCTCTGGCAGAGCAGCAACAGCTTTATAACAAAGTCTATCCCATCACTGAGTATTTGGACTGGACTGATGTGTAGAACTCACAGGCCTGGTCATGGGAAGTCCAGTCCTACAAGGGGAGTTGCTAACTGTGGTCCTGAGATACCTTACCAAAGAGTTGAATTTAAATTCAGAAAGTAGGCATTATAAGAAGAACAATGTATGGGCATACCAAAATAAATCATTCCAGATGTGTATCAAGATAGAAGTCCTACTTTTCCCTCCATTTTCTCCATTTCCTAATGTCCCTTGTTCGCTCTGCTTCCTTAGACCATAAGGAACCGAAGGTCACAAGCTCTTTTTAGGTCTCTAGTGAAGGACATGACAAATCAACATTTTTAAGACTACATTCCGCCTTCCATCCTCCAGCTGCCGCTAAATTCAGATGAAGTACCCTTTCCTACATTTCAGTGGTGTTGACTTGTGAAAATGTATTTATTTATTTAATTCAATTTGGACACTGCCCAACACCAGCTGATTCTGGGTGGTTCACAAGTACAAGTACAATCCCAAAACAAGATGGCATCTGGACACAGTATATAAACAGACAATATTTTTCTCTTTTATTCGAGTTTATAAAGGGAATTTGGATATAAGCTAATCTATATCAAGAGTGGACAAGTCCTTTCATTTTCCACCAGTTCAACATTGTTAGATATTTTACATTCTTTTATTGGACTATGCCTGCACTCCTCTAGCAGGTGTTTTGCTCTTTAACCAATTCTTTCCTTTGAATTTTCATTTGGTCCCAAAGCATTCAAAGTAAAGAAATCCTAACGTAATAGGGTGTGTGGCTAACATAAGTGTATTCCTAACCTATATGGACCCCTCACCCCCTGTCTCTAATACCTAGTACTGATCCTATTTACCACTCTAGGTCTAAAGAAAGGCCAATGGAATTAGTTGGCATTGTGTCATGTACTCTCTCAGAGTGAAGTTAGGTACACTTTTCTTCCCAGAATCCTGGGACTTCTGTCATCCTGGATGGACATTTTGAGACTTCCCTCTTGATTGCAACTCTATATCTTATTAACTTCCATCTTTATCTTGACCCCAATCAAATCTTAGGGTCATCCAGCCACCTCTACCCATAATACTGTTTCTCCTCCAACATCCCTCTTCCCAGGGTTATGCCCTCAGTTTTGTCTTACTGTCACCCAACATTCTATAAATCCTAGTTAGTGG